AAAACAAAAAGGGAGTGTTTTTCATGGAGGTGGTGTGGGAGGGGGCACACCGCCTCTGCCTCCGGGTTCCTGAGGAGAAGCGGTTTGTTGGGTTTTCGCCTCCGGCGACGAGTCCGTTTAATCACAGCGTGTTCACATTCCTGTTTGTGTACATTTTCCAACTGGAGCTCACAGGCTGTTTTTATTCATCGTGATTTAACTCGTGCTAAGCTAAGCGGCGTCATATCTCGGTTAGACGCCCGTTTAGCGCGTCGCCTCTCACTGTGCACCAGTGTAAAGCAGGAAACGCGCGCCGAGGTTTTTTTCCCGCCCGGCGACGGCTCAAAGGTCGTTTCTGCGAACGCGCTTTTGTACTTCCTGCCGCAGCAGCTGTGACCTTTGACCTCCCTCCGGTTGGATATTTGGACACCACTCGAAAACATGGATCCGTCTCTCTCACTTAATCGCTCAGTTTCCACAGACTCGGCCAACAGTTTGCGCGTTGCCTTCACTGACCTCTGGAACTCGGCTCTTCTCTCCTTCTCAATCTTTGTAGCTTTTAATTACATCCTCCAAGAGAAAGAAAAATCTGCGAAATTGGAACACTTTCATAAAAAAATATCCTTACATACATTTAATTAGCTTAAGGAATAAACGACATACTAATCGGTGGAGCTGCTCGCAGGAATATATTGATGATAATGTTCCATCAAGGTGCAAATGAGCTTTATTGTAATATGAAACGGAAGCTTCCTGCTCCTCCTCGGGGAGATCCGAGGGCTCATCAGAAGATCCGTGACCTCTGTTGACCTCCAGGCCGCTCCGGTAAACATTAAGGACAAACGTCTTCTCCTAACATCTGGGTCGTGCTCTTGGTTGCGTAACTCTGCGATTAGAGATTCCCAGACTGCGCGTCCAACAGAGGACGTATTCATTATGAGAGCTTCAGTGAAACATTGACCCCCTCGAGGGAACAAACGCAGAAGCGATCAACAAACAATGACTGAGGGAAGGTCGAACCTCTGGGCTTCACCTGTGTGGCTTTTAACGCGTCAAATGTTTCCTCATATTCAAGCTGTTTCGGTGTAAAATGATTTCCAGTCGGGCGGATCAGAGTAAATGCAGCTGCTTCTTTCATATAACCGTGTAGAATATTAATTTGGATTAAGCCCATAAACTGATGTTTACGATGTAACTGAGGTAATAAAGTCGTTTCCCTCATAGACCTCTATGGTCTTTAAAGTTCAAGGATTTTGTGTTGGGATTTATTAAAAATAAGGTCTTTTTTTGTTGTGAAAATTATGTGGATATTCCTTCCCCAATCGGGCCGGTTGGGGGAGTGGGGGGGGGGGGGGGGGGGGGGGGGTCTGTTTCCCCCAGCAGCAAAACGCAAAGGGAAGAAAGTGGCGTTTCTCGGTGGAGATGTGATGCTCCTCATAATGGTGCAAACGCCTGGTTTCTTTTCATCGAGCGTCCCGACGGCTCAACCAGGAAGCTGCCTCACAAAACATGTTGGCTATTTTTTTTCTATCCAAACTATTGTGACCCTGGAGTAAAGTTCACCGTCTGAACCCGGTGAGTCTCTGTCCTCCCTTTTTTATGTTCCTCACTGGAGTTTGTTGGTTGTCGTTTTGTCCGCGGCGAGCTCGTCTGTCTCGTTTGTGAGTTTTTTTTGTTTTTGCTCTTTGCTCCTCCGTCGTCTCTCAGCGAGCCGAAGGTTTCGCCACACAGTAACCGCTGTGTTTGCCGACTGGGTGTGGCGACTCTGTGGGCACCGCGTGTGCGTGTCCGTGTGTGCGTGTGCGCGTGTGCTTCTTTTTTTAGCGGGGAGGGAAGCCGAGCAGCATCAGAGGAACATCACACGCGTCTGTGGGTGTTTATCAACGGTTCATCTAAAACACTTCCTGGGAGAACAAAACCGCTGTGTGTGGCATACGTAGTTAGACATGCGTGTGCGTGTGTGCGCGCTGGACTAATAACTCAGCTTCAATAAGCAGATGTTAAACATTTACAGAAAGAGGGAACACACAGACTTTTTACTTCCAGCAGAAGCTTCTCCGATTTTGATGTCACGTGACTGTTGGTCTCAGACTGAGACGCGTTCAAGCGCCGCCGGAAGGCCGAGCGCCCTCCGATATCGATGGTCTCTGCTTCCTGTGGCGGCGATGAGCGGAGTAGTTCGGTTCTCACTTTCCTTTCTGCAAATAAACGAGCGCGCTCCCCAGAGGACCAACCCTCCGCCACGTGAGCGACCTCGTGACCTCTCCCCTGCCGCCGAGGCGGGACGCAGCGTTCCCCGTTTCATTCAGTGGTTGTTAAAGCTGGTTGAGCTGAAACGTGACGGAACATGTTTCAAAGAGTGTGTGTGTGTGTGTGTGTGTGTGTGTGTGTGTGTGTGTGTGTGTTCAGTTCCTGTTATCTTAACTGTCATCTGTCATTCCTGCTTCCTTCTGTGTTTTTATGAGGGGTTGTGTGTGTGTGTGTGTGTGTGTGTGTGTGTGTGTGTGTGTGTGTGTGTGTGTGTGTGTGTGTGTGTGTGTGGTGACAGCATTGTGTGTGTGTGTGTGTGTGTGGTGACAGCATTGTGTGTGTGTGTGTGTGGTGACAGCAATATGTGTGTGTGTGTGTGTGTGGTGACAGCATTGTGTGTGTGTGTC